ATAAAAGGCAGGTTGAAATCGTCACGCAACCGGGGGTAACACAAACTCCGAAAAATGGTCTTGAATTCACATTTTTTCGTGGTGATCAGGAATATAGTTTTTACTTGCAAAATCGAAAGATTGATTGAGTCTTTTATTGCTCTGGTATGACTTGACTGGTTAGAAAGTTAGACAGTGGGCGATCCCAATGAAAGTGCCCATCACCTAAAATTTTATATTTTCTTATCTGAAACTATAATACCTTATTAAAATAACTTCTGCGAAAAAATTACGATTTGAACAAAACGCGATTTTTTTTTACCAATTTTTGAAGTCTACATTTTTGCAGTACACCCGCGCCGCTGATCACGCAAACTAGCAGGCTCACATATGACGTCATGTGACGTAAATTGAGGAACTCGCTTTAACTTGCCCGCATCAGCTGTACACAAAAAAGATCAATTACAAGTAACGATTGAATCACAATGTCTTCTCAAGAAGATAGTTTTTCTGAAACAGAAAAACCTACCAGAACTCTTAATACTTTCCTGTCGATAAAGTCACGTGTTCCTTAAAGTACGTCGTATGACGTCATATTCCGAGAGAAGTCTAAGACGAATGGTGTGCCAAAATAGCGGCAAATTTGAACGTTTTTAAAAAATTCTAAAAAAATTCGTCTTTGGTTCAAAACGCAAAAAATTTTTTGCAGAAGTTATTTTAATTAGATGTAGTTTCAGATAAGGAAATAAAAAATTTTAGGTGATGGGCACTTCAACCAGCTCTGAAAGGTCAAGCGGCCGTTCCCATTAATGTCAACAATGCTAAGGAAAGTATGGAGTCTTTTATCAAAATATATATTTTTTTGAAATTAGATTTACTTGACATAAATTTTTTGAGTAGTGTGGTACATTTTATACAAAAAATTGCTGGAAAGGAAACGGACTAAGATTCAGACAAACATTGAATTGAAAATTGCAAAGTCGAAAATACCGGATGCCCTCGAAGGCTAGTAGAGCTCCGTAAATAATATGAGTTTCCTCTACGAGACCGATCTTAGAGTACTTTATTAAGAAAGGAGCATTTTATTTGGAGAGGCGGAGGGAGAGAAGAGGTTGATCAATTTTTTTATTCTTTTTCATAGCCTTTTATTACAGCCCACGCTTCATAAGTTTAAATCAGAGTCATCGACCTTGGTACCTCTAGCAACAGTTGTTGTATTATATTTTAACATGGAGTTAAAAATCGGTGGACTATTAATCTAAAACTGGTTCCAGAATCATTCAAAGTGTGCTCTTAACTTACCACAAGTTATAATTAGGCGAGCCACTGTTACTTAACAACATTAATAATGGAACAACTGGCTTTCTCAGTTCTCGATTCAAATCTTTATTGAAACAGAGATGGCAATAACTAACCGGTTAGGCGCAATAAAGATTTTCCGGTCCAGCGCATTGTTGCCTGGACAAGAGCGAACGTAGACTGTCAAATAAAACTTTTAAGCAAGAGCGCAATAACAAGGGATTTACGGTACAAGCGGAGCGAAAATGAACGAAGAATTTAGTGGACGTGTACCGGGGACGGAAGCTCGGGAGAGTAAGGGCTGGCAGCACTGGAAGGGGTTTGGGAGATGGGAGATTAAAGGGCGGGTGATGGGAGTGCTAAAAAGGTAGAAAGCGGAAGTGCATATATTATTTTCAAAATGTTTTATTTCAGATTAAAACCCAATTTACGCAAACCTGATGTTTTACAATTTACGCGCTTTGAAGCTGAAATATGCGATGAGCGTTTACCAGAAGCTCCGAGACTGTAAAACAGCCGGTCCTTTGTTATGCTTTCGTATGATTTTCGCGCGCGTGTACGCCTCACACGCTCACAGGGCGTGGCAAATCTCCTTTTCACCCTCTGCGCTCCAGGTGTTTCGTTCGTGGGGTCTTGATCTACATAAAAATACGGGCTGATTTACAGTCGAAAAAGTTTCATTTCTCTGGTCTACAGTTTATCCAGCTACCTTTGGTAAGAAAAAAAAAATAACAAAATATCGGACACCCAGAGTTAGTACCCTCAAGCATCAGTCCCTCTCTTGTCTTTTTTGCACCTTCGATAAGACGATGTCGTATTGAATACTTGGCCCTCTACGCAGTACTAGCTACAAAATAATTGTTCCACACACACAATTAGCTATCAGATGGTTTACCCAAATGACCAAAACCCTAAAAACCGTGTTCTTTTTTATCTTCTTACCATACGTCCCCAAGAGACCCCGTGGGAAAAGTCCAGAGCTTCGGGCTGGGGCCCCGGGGGCTGAGGGTATAGTGAGGACGGGCAGATTAAAACTAACCACTAACTTTTCAATGTTTTTTTTGGTGTGTGTGTGTGTGTGTGTGAGCGAAGTATTTGTGGCCGCGTGAAACAATAGCGCCTCTTGTTTTTGAAAAAGTATGGGGATCCCTGACTTTTGTTGATGCAATGTAAGTCATGTTCTATTTATTTTCTACATAAAGTATTAAACGAAACAGCCGCA